ATGCCGACGTCTTTTCACGTAGTTCACTTGAAGAATCAACGACATGAATCATATGTGTTGGCTAATGGACAAGCTAAACTTTATCCTGCATGGTGGGAGGTCGATAAGGTTAGTATTTGTTTTTTAAATATTTTAAAGGTGTTTACAAATAAGTGCGCAATTGAATTATTACTTATGATTGTAGGTGTTTATCCCTATTTTGGAACGTAATCATTGGCTTCTCGTCGAGCTTCAGCTCCCATCCCTGAAGACAATAGTATATGACAGCATGATAAATTGCATATCATTGTTTGATTTAAGAGATATTATTAAGGGATGGAGCTCTCATTTGGCTAAATTCTTGGATGCGATTAATTATTGGACTTATTCTAAAAACAAGAAGCCAAAGAAGTTCAATATTACAGTTATCAGAGATGAGACCGCGCCACAACAAACGCAGGAAGCCAGAGGGGATTGTGGTCCTCTCGTATGCATGTGCTTGGAGCGTTTGATGACAGGAAGTACATAGTTTCTAGCTCCCACCAATAGAGATAGAGGTGCAGTAGGCTTGTGGTTTCGGCATTTTATGGCTAGAACGATATATGCGAGACGCTTCCTACCTGCATCCGCATTATGAAAGTGTCCATAAACAATTGGTAAGTCAAATGCAAGTGTTGTTAAGTACCTAGAATTCAATATAATTTGTTGTTTGTTGGTTTTAGATGTGTAGAAAGTGTTGTTTGAGCAAATGTTTGGTTTCTGCAGATTAATCCTGAAGTGAGCTGCGTGAAATTGATGTATGGGTGCATAAACAACTGTATGGGGTACACTTTTTTTATTGTAATTAATTGATTCTTAAAATTCTGACTTGTTTAATTGAAGAGAAAAATAAGAATTATTATTATTTTTTGGCTTGTTTAATTGATTAAAAGTTGATTTGTTTAATTGATGTGTAAATAATTCTTATTTGTGCTTATTTTATTGATTGAAATGTAAAAGTTGATTTGTTGATTTCAATCTGCATCATATTCGCGTTGCGATAGTCTAATACACTTTGCGATTTTCTCGTTGCGATAGTCAAATTCCCGTGGCGATAATCAAATTCGCGTTGCGATAATCAAATTCGCGTTGCGATTTTTGCTTTGCGATAGTCAAATTCACGTTGCGATAGTTAAATTCGCGTTGCGATAGTCATATTCGCGTTACGATAGTCAAATTCGCGTTGGGATTTTTTCGTTGCGATAGTTAAATTCACGTTGCGATAGTCATATTTGCGTTGCGATAGTCATATTCGCGTTGTGATATTCAAATGAATGTGTAATAAGTGATAACAACTGAACAAATCATAGAAATGTTCAAACTCAAGTTACTAATACATGCCTAACTGAAAATGTTAAAAGTTTACACATAAAATACACATAATACAACGTTTGCATTTAAAAATCACCTAAGTTAATAGTCCCAAAAGGTGAAGCCGGTTGTGATTGGGATTTTGATTTTGATTACGATTTTGATTGCCTTTTGCTTGACACCATATGAGCTTTGAATTTTGATGAGGATCTATATTTTGGTATAGGAAAAGATGATTGTGATGGCACTGGTGATCCACATGTCAATCTTGTATGACCACTTTCCTTGCACCGACTACATGTCGATCTCTTTTTCTCTTCACCCTTAGACGGTATACGATCGTGACTTTTTGGTCGGCCAGGTAGCATTCTGTCCATGGCTGGTGGCAAAACTGTTTGTAAGTCATCTGGTATGTCCCACTCACAAAGATGTGGAATAGGGTAGATAATCTCGGCATAAGTCTGTAGATATACTTCTGTAGTGTAGAAATCCATAGCGTATGCACTTGAATCATCTTGGTTTAGATGAAGAGCAACTTTTATAACATGGCCACACGAATAACCAGATGTTTTCCATTTCATACAACTACATGTCTTTGTATTTAGATCGACAAGCCCATTTAAGTTATTATCCAGTACTTCAAACAAAGTGTTTGAACATGGTTCAACTCTCCATGACGTTGACTTCACAACACGTTTCGTTATCTTTTTTTCAGTCCATGGTGTAACACGATGTTCCAATGTTCCTGTAAATTTAAATAAATAATACTTAGTAAAATATATGATAAGTTACGAATTTAAAGAAATAATACATGCATGGTTTCTTTTCTTGTAGTACCACTGTTGAATAGAGGCTCGAAAAAACTCCATTAACATAGTAATGGGTAATTTCTAGGAATAACGACTTAGAGCGTTGATTGATTCTGTACTATTAGACGTCATGAAACCATATCTTGCTCCAAGTTGATGTACTCTTAAACAATTTATATGCTTATTAAAATCCACTTCCCCGATAAGCTTTTACAGCCTTCAAGTATGTCCATTTGTGATTTTTTATACCAGCAGACCTTGATTTTAGATTTCTATACAAATGAACACCACAAAGTCCATGAAAAGCATCTGGGAAACACCTTGTAACAGCGTTGTCAATTGAGTTTGCCCTATCGGATATGATTGTCAGATTGCTAATAGGACCTATGCAATCCCTAAGATGCCCCATAAACCATGTCCATGAATCAGAGGTTTTAGATTTGCCAACCCCGTAAGCTATTGGCAATATCCCATTGTTAGCATCCATGACTACTGCTAATAAGCTTACTCCAAGGTATCGACCTTTCAAATGTGCTCCGTCAACTATAATAACTGGGCGCATGCAAGTAATAAATGAACGAATCTACAAAATAATATACACAAGAAATATAATCATTTAAATGTGAAATGCATGTAACTAACAAAAATGAGTCAACAAAATTATATTGATTTACTAACCGCAACACCAATGGCGATAAACATCAACTCAAAGCGTCAATCTCTATCTGTTTTGATATGAGTTACTGACCCATGATTTTTCAGTTTTAAATTGTGACAATAAGCCGGCAGTTGGGCAAACGATGCTTTTGGCGACCCCCTCAACAATTCCAAGACATAACATTTGGCTCTCCAAGCTTGAGAATATAAGATACTAATCTTGAATCGAGCATTCATGTTAGTCATAATTTCATGTCCCCGATATACCCTGCCATTCAAAAACATTAACTCAGCCAGAAAACCACCCAACACCTTTTTGTTTGCTTGTCTATGGTGAGGAAAAACTTGGGTTCTTGAACATGTATGTTTATCAATAAAAGTCCTAACTTGAAACATTTCGAAATCTTTTATCCTCTTTGCAATCATACGCCACGTACAGTTTTTGTCAATCATACACCTTGTTTCGAAACGATCTTTGCTTGATTTGTTAACTTTTAGTTGATAGCCATCTTCCACACATTTCGTATACAAAGCTATCTTCAAGTCTTCCTTTGTATCAAAACAATCATCTTTCTTGATACGAATAATTTTTGTGTAACAATCAACTGCTATCTTTACCAACTCTTCTTCCGGTATCTGAAGTAATTATGGCATATTCCAGTTATACTCCAGTGGCATTTTCTTTGGGGACTTTTCTTCGGGGATTTCTTCTTCTTCTTTTTCTTCTTCAAGGTTATATGAATTACAGAATGGATGTTCAACATGTTCATTCACAGTCGTAACTTCCTCCTCATTATCATCAACAATATCTTCCTCGGCAGCGGCTGTTTCATCATCAAAATTCGGGTATTGACCAATATCAAAATCATTACACTCAGGGTCTGTTTCTTCTTCTGAAACATCATCAAAATCCGAGTATTGGCCAAGATTAAAGTCCGGGTATTGACCAAGATCAAATTTTGAATACTGACTAGTACTCATAATTTTTCTGTTGGCTCATCATCGTTTAACTGGTCAATACGAAAACCGGAATTTGGTGCTGAAAGTTGATTGGGATTTGGATTAGGGAAAGGTTGTGGGTTTTGAGATTGTGTTTGGTATTGGAAATGTGGTGAAACAACATTTTCTTGGTGATGAAATTGTGGTGGAACCATTAAATTTTGAGCACCATAAACTGGGGTTGAAAAACTTAGTTGATTACTACCTGCTACTAACCCAACTTCCCTACTTCTAGGTTCAACAACATACAATGTAACATCATCTTGCGAAACACTAATGTAAGCAATGAATTGTTCAACAACTTCATTGTCGGTTAACAAATAAACTTTACATTTTCTTTGATAAGATAGCCTAAATCCACTTAGAGGCTCTAAATTCAATTTATTTGCAACACGTAACATTAGAGTTTCATAAGTTAACTTTTTTAATGACAGTTTTAGTTGAATATTCATGGGTAAAGACATATATTGTAAAACACCATGAACATTCTCCCATGACCTTCCAAAACACAAATCTATCCAAACATGATCAACATTAGATGATTTCATTATTGTAAATTAATTTACTAAACAAACGAGCCGCGAAACTAAAACCTGTTGCCGGATGGGGAAAGATGTCGTTGGATATAGGAACAGATGTCGCCGGAGAGAGTGATAGATGGAGATGGAATGAGTTGCGATTTAGGGATTTAGGTTATGAGTTGATGCTGCTGCGTAGTAGTTATATACCCATTTGTGTTGCGAAACTAAAACTTGTTGCGAATTTGAAATTCAGTGATGCGATAGTCAGAATCGCGTTGCGATAGTCAGAATCGCGTTGCGATCACGTATTATCGCATTGCGATAGTCAGAATCGCGTTGCGATCACGTATTATTGCATTGCGATAGTCAGAATCGCGTTGCGATAGTCAGAATCGCGTTGCGATTTACATATTCGCATTGCGATTTTCTAAAATCACAATGCGAATTTCGAAAATCGTAATGCGATGATCAAAATCGCTTTGCGAATCTGGAAACTGATTTGCGATAATGGAGATCGCATTGCGATTTTGTTGGTCATTTTGGCAAATCGAAAAAAAATTGGTCAAAATCGTATATTATAAGAATTTTTGGTCACTGAGATTATTTTCTCTTAAATTTTAACTTATTCGTCTGGCAAGTTGGGAAGTGACGAACTGAGTTGGTCTTCAATCACCTTTTTCACCAAATGGATGTGGTTCTCCATATTAGCGTTGTTTCTGCTCAGCATTTTGCTGCCTGTCGACCTATTTACAGCCACAAACCTGATCGATTGCCCATTCCTGTGCAATGGATTCCACCTTCTCTTGACTGGTACTGCACTACTGCTTGAATGTTGATGGAGCAGTCGATGCTCGAACTGCTACAAGTATGGCTGGCGGGGATTTTCGAGACAGCACAGGCGCATGGACTTTGGGATTTAATAGGTTTCTGGGGCAAACTGATATCCTCCAAGTTGAATTATGGAGCATCCTCATTGGCCTTCGGATGGCATTGACAAGAGGCATCCGGAAACTCGTAATCCAATCCGATTCTAATTACGCTATCAAATCAATCACGGACACTGATGAGGCAACAAATCCGTTGTCGCTTGTTCGAGCCATTCATAAGATGAACTCCGATAATTGGGATCTAATCTTCCGATGGATTCCACGTGAAGCAAACGCAGTTGCGGATGCTATGGTGAAAATGACGGATAGACATTCTTCCTCAACAAAGGTGTACGAAACCCCTCCTGTAGCTCTGTTATCTTTGCTTTCACGGGACATCCATGTCCCTTAATATGTGAGACTTGCCTTGTATTTGTTCTCTCTTTTCAATTAAAAAAAATTGATATGTATAGGGATGGACATAGGTCATGTTGGGTCAAGTTTTCGGTCAACTTGGTTTGACCCAAAAAATATACACCTTCTACCCGACTCAAATCAGACTTATTTTTTAGGTAAAATGCAAATTTGAATTGACCCGATCTAAAATAATATATTTATTAAAAATATTTTTTATTCAATAAAATATAAATTTAATTGAAAAAAATAATATATATAAGAGTATTATTGTAATTATCTTTAAATATATAAAATAAAATTATAATTTTTAAGTTGGATCGAATCAAATCAGATATTTTTCATATTAAACTTAATCTAATCAAATCTGAACATAATCTTTAAAAGAATCCAACCCAAACTAAATTCCTTTTAAGAAAATATAACATTATCCAATTAATTAGATCAAATCAAAATCCGTGGAATTTGTATGTCGTACCCATCCCTAAACTATATATAGAATTTAGGAAATTTCACAGAATAAAAAAAAACATAAACGTCGAAAAATGGATAACCAAGAAGAGGCCGTGGCCACGAGTCAAAGCCCAGAAGCTATGAATAGAAGCAAAACGGAGTGGGCTAGTGAACGAAACGGCGGGTACAACTAACGCTGTCTAGTCTTTTCCTTCACTTTAAAAGTTCTGATATCTTTTCATGATCGACTTTCACTTCCCTTTTTCACAGGTTTATTTCTGCCATTTCACCTCTGCCACTAGCAAACTCTCTCTCAAGGAATCTCTGGGACTCTTCGCTTTTTATTTTTTATTATTATTTTCTTTAAGAGTTTTATATTCCATTGAATCCTTCACTTTCACGCTATAAATACTCTCTCCCTTCCTCTCTTCATCTTCTCTCCATCAGAGATTCTTTTGTTGATTCCGGTAAGTTTTCTCTCTTCTGATTTCGGGAAAAACGTTGTCGCTTTTTTCTCTTCTCCTTTTATTATTTTAAAATTTTCTCGCGTAGAATTTCGTGCACTGTGGAAACTCGGAACCTGGAAATCGATGCCGTTTTGACTGTTATTTTTTTGGCGAGTTTTGTTATCGAATTCAGAAGAAGACGATACTGTGTCAGTGCCATGACGTTATTGTCGATTCTCTTTGTGTTGAAACTCGGTCAGTAACAGAGTTCTTTTCTGCTTTCAAAATGTTCACAGCTTAAATTTGAGATCAAAATGATTGATCTATTTGTTGTTGTGAATCAAAAGGAAAATGATCCGAGTCGTAGCAGAGTCATTGTTAATATTTTTCTTTCAAAATTTAAAAACCGTATCTGCCTTTTCTATTTGATTTCAAATTTTCATCGCCTCCGTTTCCGGGAACTCGAATCATCGCTTATTTGGAATGCAAACAGAGTAGGTTCGAGTCTGATCCGAGTCAAAGCGTGTCAGAACTCGATCTAGTTTCGCCTTCACCTTTTTTTGAAAAATATTCATATCTTCATTCAAATCCGAATATTTTGCAAAATGAAAAAAGAAACTAATTATTTGGATTATATTGCTGATTAGTTTGATAATTACAAAGCGCAGATTAAGACTTGGTGACCAAGTGAAGGAGGACAATGAACGCTCAACTTTTGGAGATTGAGCCAAAGGAACTTAAATTCAGATGTGAGTGCATAATTATTTGATTCTTTCCTTTACTTTTACTGCATAAAGTATTTTTATAATTATTAGGTTGATAAAGTAACTTTTAATTCTCTAATCTTTTTTTTATTATATGAAAAAATATATCTGTTATTTACAATTATTTTTTTTTGTTTGGTCACTAATTACGCGAATGAAACAAGGAGTTGTCTAAACCTATTTTTTGGCCTTTTTCGGCAAAAATGCCAGGATAATGCATATTGGAAAAAAAAAATTCCCATTCCAATGTGGTTCCAAAATTATTTTCCTAATGAGGCTAAAATTTTGATCCTTGTGATTGCTCGGCGTCTTTTGTTGAAAGCATATACAGACCAGCTAGTTCGTTCGCGCATTCTTAATCAAGTTCACTACAGAAACCAAACTGGGATTACCAAGATACATGGTATATGCACATTTGTGCATCCATCTCACTGCAACAATCATTTCACTCCAGAATGAACAAACTTATGATGGAAAACCAATTTTCTTTCGTGCATAGTGAACAAAATACTTACTTTCCCAACACTTTGGTGAGTATTTGAGTATAATAATCAACCATTTGTGCTTTTGTGACAACCCCAATTCCAGGCTTATCCATTCGAACAAGCCAGTGTTTGGTGTTCCCAGCAGGAAACAACTGTGAATTTCCAGTGTTTGAAGCAGTGTGATCTTTTTGCTTAGAATTGTAATCTGGGTCTGGCTTAACCGATAAAACCTCAGGTAAACCTACAAAAGAAAAGATTATATAACTTCCCAAGAAGACGCCGAGAATTCCCGGCCAACTCCACATGCAGCAGCAACCCTATTTCAACTAAAGATGCCGAGTAATCTCCAAGGATTATGCATCAAAATTTTAGCTTGAAGACGTCGTGATATCCCGGGGTCTTTAGGCGTATACTGTATAAAATGTCCTAGATTGAGAAATAATGTTGGAACCAAATTAGAATGTGATTTTTTTCCATTCTGCATTATCCTGACATTTTTGCCCTTCTTTTTCTTTAAAAATAAAATAAAATATAGTAATAAATGCAATTCGTGCTTAACTGAATTAGTTCATTGAGTCTATCGGATTCGCAATCAGTATTTAGAATACTTTTCTCCCCAATTCTGCAAAAGATAAAAGGGTAAACTACATGTTTAGTATTCTAACTATCACTTTTATTTTATTTTGGTCATTCAACTATTTTTTGTTTGAAAATTATGTCTAATGTTACGTTTTGTTTTTTATATTAGTCATCCACAGTTAAAAAATCAACCGTGATGTTGATGTGTCATCATAAGGGACATCATCATTGATTTTTTTTAAATATAACATCAGCAATTTTGTTATACTTAAAGGGTAAACTATATGTTATACCCAACTATCACTTAAATTTTGTTTTGGTCACTAAATTATTTTTGTTTCAAAGTTATATTTAATGTTACGTTTTTGTTTTATTTTAGTCACTCGCCATTAAAAAATTAATTATGATGTTGATGTGTTACCATAAGGTAATACCACGTCATCATCAATTTTTTTTATAAAATATCAAATTAACATTTCTGTTATTTTTTTAATGGTAGAAGACCGAAATAAAACAAAAATGTAACATTAGATGTGATTTCAAAAAAAATAGTTGGTGACTAAAATGGAACAAAAGTGATAATTGAGGTACTAAATGTATAGTTTACCCAAGGTAAAATACTAAAACAAATTGACAGTTTTTTCTTCAGTTATGTAGCATTTATTTATTTTTGTGGGTTTGTTGTGAAAAAAACCCTAAGGGGTTAATATATTCATAAACTTTAGCTTTTATATTTATTTCTATTTTTACCCATTTTTTTCTAATTTAATTATTTTTCTTATTTGAATTTTTTTGATTGATAGTTATATTGAAGAAACAATGCTCCTGCTCGGTTACACTTACAAATAACACTAACCAACATGTTGTTTTCAAGGTCTAAACTCTGAACCTTTACTTTCTGATCTTTCTTTTTCTTTTTGGATTCCAATGTTATTGGAGCAATGATATTTTTGCAGGTTAAAACCACGTCTCCTAAGAAATACTGTGTGCGGCCTAATGTTGGCATTGTTATGCCAAAATCAACCTATGAGTTTTCAGGTATGGAGTTTTTGTACTTAAATGCTTTATGATTCTATGTATGCGCATATAACAAATGAATTTGAAAGCTTAAGTGGCTTTTAATCTTATGTTTTATGATTCTATTTATGCGCATATAACAAATGAATTTGAAAGCTTAAGTGGCTTTTAATCTTATGTTTTATGATTCTATTTATGCGCATATAACAAATGAATTTGAAAGCTTAAGTGACTTTTAATCTTATAAGGGCTCATGATTAATGATGTAAGTATATTAAATTCATGTTATCATTAGAAGTCTATATGGGGTCACTTGGCTGAGGGACAAAAGAATTGGGATCCGATAAGGGTAAATTCTTCATCCTTTCAGGTGCTTTAAGTGCAGGGCATTTCATATGTATTTTCTGGTTTCTTTTGCATTTGATGATTAATTTCCTGAGACTGCAAATCAAGTGAGGCAACAAAAATTGCCTACTTTTAACAAACATAATCCAGTATTCTCGACCTTTAGGACAATCTGCCGTTGTGATGTCTCAGAAGTTGGACAAGTGAATCAAAGCTAGTGATGCAATTTATTAATAAAATATAGTTATGAATTTCTCATATGATGTTCGTTATAATTTTTTCTCCTCTGTGCTATGGTATTTATTCTTACCTTTGCCTTTTCCATTTAGTTACCATGCAAGCTCAGCGCGAAGCCCCGCCTGATATGGTATGCAGAGATAAGTTCTTGATTCAAAGTACAGTTGTTCCAGCAGGAACAACTGACGAAAACATTACATCTGCCACAGTAAGTATCTTTTCTGCTCTGCTTGTGCTTTATTTGATAATAGTAATTAACATGTGACCTCGCTCGCTGTGTCCGCTCGACAGTTTGTCAAGGATAGCGGAAGATATATTGAAGAGAATAAGCTTAAGGTTGCCCTTATCAGCCCTCCGCATTCACCAGTGTTATCACCCCTTCCGATGGTTAGAGCAGCTTTGTACATCATTTCACATATATACACATTCAATTTTACGTACAATTGCCTTATCCGAAAGGAATTTTTGTTCGAATACGTGATTTAAAAACAAACTTAACTACATTGTTGAAGCTTATACCGCCGAGAAAATTACCTTGTTTTCTTCTATGTGTCAGGTTGCGAAGGTTGAGGAGTCAAAGATGATAAATGTTGAGGATTTAAACCCAACAAAGGATCTAGATTGGAGGCCAAGGAAGGATATGTACTATGAGGAGGAATTAAAGCCGAAGAAGGATGCAGAGCTGAAGCCAAGTAAGGATATGTTCTACGAGGAGGCTTTAAAGCCGATAAAGGAAGCAGAACTGAAACCGAGTAAGGATATGATCTGTGAGGAGGAATTAAAGCCGAAGAAGGAAGCAGAGCTGAAGCCAAGTAAGGATATGTTCTATGAGGAGACATTAAAGCCGATGAAGGAAGCAGAACTGAAACCAAGTAAGGATATGATCTATGAGGAGGAATTAAAGCCGCAGAAGGAAGCAGAGCTGAAGCCAAGTAAGGAGATGTTCTATGAGGAGACATTAAAGCCGACGAAGGAATCTGGACTGAAACCAATGAAAGTTGTTATTGGTGAGGACTTGAATTTAATAAAAGAAACTGATCTGAAGCCTAAGAATGATTCTTTCAATAGCAAGGAGTTAAAGCCAGTGCAAGATGTGGAATCAAAGCCGATGGAAGATATTCTCGATACCGAGGAACTGAAGACAGTGAGGGAAAAGGAGTTCAATGCATTGAAGGATGACGAGGTGAAAACATTGAAGACCGTGGAGGATCTAAAATTTGCTAAAGATGTGGAGGAAATGAAATTAAAATTAAATGACCTCGAGTTTAAGCTGGGGAAGGTATGTTTGTTAGTACAAAAAAGAACATTGCTCGACGGTGACAGTTAAAAAGAAGGTTGCATTATCTTCTTCCGTCATTTAATTTGAATCTGTTTTTCAGGCTGAAGCAACCATTTCAAAACTGACACAGGGGAGGAGCCTAAGCACTCACGAGAGAAAGGCCTTGCAGGAGGAACTGGTAAGTTATTCTCCTGTGCATTCTTCTTTTAGTAAAATCATGTTTATATATTTCATATATAATCATGTTCAATCATGTACAGTCACTTCTCCTAGTGACCACTTTAGGAAGACGTTTTTTGTCCTTATTGGATTGCACTCAGTTTAGGGTTAAGCCATTTAAAAACTCAATATTTATGCAGGCACTGTTGAGGAAAAAGAGTGATGTGAAAAGAGTTGAAGTGGGATTCCCTTTCCTATTTGTGTGTATGGTAGCACTGGTAAGTGTGTTTCTGGGATACCATACGCACCATTGACAAGCAATACTCTTTTCTATTTAATGTGATGCCGTTATAAGCAACAGTCATACCGGGGGTTTTTGTTAATAGTCAATAGAAATAGAGTTTTAAATACTTTCCTGCCCATAGCAAATATAAACCAAAAATTTGCCTTATGAATGTTTTCAAAAAGGAAAATAACATATGAGGTGTCCCCAATATATTACAATCCCCACACTTTTTTATTTTTTATATCTACGAAAGGAACAAATCAAATTACTGACTTAAATGAATTGTTGTTGTTTTCAGACATTACGAATTTGAGCACCAGTGACTACAAGAGTAATTGAGCGTTCATTGTTAAATGATTGAGAGTACTTAAAACATATAATATTTTATAATCAACTTGTTAAAAAATAGATATATGAAAGCATAAAAAACATCTAATTTAAAGTTATAAATGACAGAAATGAGTAGTCTAAAAATGTGATAAGAAAATATAATATTATAGGTTGAATGCAATCTAAAATGTGACATTCATAATATTTTCATATAAAACCTAAATGGTTACGAAAAAATAAACATTTTTAGTTGTGAATTGAAAATATTATAAAGAATATCCTATTTTATGTTGCAATCGAAAATATTAGGAAGATTGTTACATTTTAGGTTGTATCGCATTTCATTTCTAAAGAAACTTTTACAACCAAATGCCGTTTCAAACTGATAATTTAAACTACCGAACTGAATAATATTTTTTAGGGTAAAATTCAAAAATAGTTATTAGACTATTTTAAAAAGATATTTTAGGTATTTAGTTTTAAAAATTTATATGCGTGTATCAAAATAAAATTTAAACTAAATGTAAGTATAGTTTTCAAAAAAAAAATTTGGGTATCAAAATAAAATAAAAATAATAGTTTAGGTACTAAACATATAATTTACCCTTACATTTATGAATTTAAAGTCGATCAGAATAAAATTAAGGCTTAATATAAAAACAAGTGCTCAAATTATACCGTTTTTCTCAAAGTGGTGCCTAAATTTTTTTGGATCAATCTAGGTGTCTAACATCATAAACGTCATTACTTTAGGTGTATCGGCCGTAATGTTAAAATACTCCGTTAAATGACATGTGCCAAGTTTTTGTAATTTTGAAAATTGTATTTAAAATAAAAAAACTTAAAATTATATATATATATATATATATATATATTATTAAAAAAAGTCTAAACTTTTTGAAAAACTGTAAAAATCCCAAAACTTTGAAAACATTAATTTCAACCCCTAAACCCACGCCGACTGCTTCTCTTATCGTCGAAGAACTACCACCCAAGCTCACCACCACCTGACGACCGATAACCCCATGAACAACCACCAAAATAAGAGCCAATTGACGTGACCCCAACGAACCCTGACACTACAAATCATGACATCACACAATCCCGACTGTTAATCTACGATTATGATGACGACTTCTAACTAGGAAGATGGTAAGGGCGACGACGGCCGTGGTCGGAAAAGATGATAAGGTTAGGGTTAGGATTATAGATTTGAGATTTTTAAGGATTTGGGGTTTTTTTTGTAATTTAAGAGAAATTAAGGTTTTTTTAAATATAATATATATATATATTATTTTTTTAAAAATAGAATTTTTAAAAGAGAAAATAACCTCAGTGACCAAAAATCCCATATAATATACGATTTTAACCAACTTTTCCGGATTTGCCAAAATGACCAACAAAATCGCAATGCGATCGCTAATTCGCAACGCGATCTCCATTATCGCAAATCAGTTTCCAGATTCGCAACGTGATTATGACTATCGCAATGCGATTTTCCAATTTCGCGTTGCGATTTTCCCAATTCGCAATGCGAATAAGTAAATCGCAATGCGAATTTGGAAAATCGCAATGCGATACTCACTATCGCAACGTGATAATACAAAATCGCAACGCGATTCTGACTTTCGCAATGCGATTCTGTTGGGATTTTCGGAAGCTCGAAACGACAACCGGAACGATTTGCAAAGAGGGGTCGAAACAGTTTTTGTGTTTAGAGAGTAAGGAGATTGAAAGATAGAGAATTGCACAGCGATTTATAGTGGTTCGCATTTCTCAATCAAAGTCTACGTCCACTACCTTAGCTCCTCACCAAGGATTTTCCAACAAATTTACTAATTTGTTATTTCTTTTGAGGAAAAAGAGATAACCTTACAACTCCCTAGTTTTTCCGGGCTAAACTAGAACCTTTCCCTAGCTTTTACACGGGCTAAGCTAGAACATTTCCCCTTTACAAAAGGATAAAAGATGTAAAAAATAAAACCTCTCTAAGGTAGGTGTTTACAAGAATTAAGCTCACAAGAACAAAATATTTACAAGAGAAAGATGAAATAAGAATGAAAAACTCTTCTCTTGTGTTTGATTACTTGGATAGTTGTTCTCATTCTTCTTCAAGTGTCCTTAGCTTGTATTTATAGCTTGGAATGTGTTTGAAGTCATATCTAGCCATTGGGGATGTTTTGGAGCCGTTTGGGAATGATTTTTCTGCAAAAATAGGCTGCCCAAAATAGGGGAATCGGTACCCCTTCATAGGGAATCGATACTCCTTCATAATATTCAAATATTATGACCGTTGGGCTGATGAACAGTGAGGGAATCGGTACCCCCTTGGGGGGAATCGGTTCCCCTTTTACATACTGGAATTTTTGAGCCTCGGGTTACTGTTCAAACTGTGATTTACTGTTCAAATAGTAATGTACTGTTCAAATAGTAAATTACTATTCATAAAAACATTTTTGTGCTCAATAAAGAACTTTGAATTATTTTTTTAAATTTTGAATAAATTCAATTAAGTCCAAATACATTTTGTAAATTCAATTCAAGTCCAAAAACCATTTTGCCTTAAATTGTTATATCGAAACATAGTTCAACAATCTCCCCCTTTTTGATATAACAAAACATTTGAAAAATTGTTTTTGGCAAAAACTCCCCCTTAATAAAATGTTTAATGAAAAAGATACTAGTTGTTGGAAAACATATGAAAATGTTAAGCTCCCCCTTTTTCATTAAGAAATTGAATTTTTCAAACTAAACTTCTCCCCCTTTTTGTTATATCAAAAATAATTTGATCTTTGAAGTTTAAAATAACTTTGGAGAGTAAGTAGTAAATTTTACATTTAAAAATAATTTGAAAAATCAAAGCTCCCCCTCAATAAATGTATTCCAAACAAAATTAAGCTTTTAAGATCTTGACACTTAAACAAAATATTGAATTTCTAAAAAGAATAACAAACATGTTTGTAGCACATGAAATTCAATACATCCAAGTCTAAAATACTTTATGCAATACCAATTGTTGAAATTTGATATTAATACCAATTGCTAAAATTAAGTGCATTTGCATAAAGTTTTCCAAAAATGTTATGTAATTTTAAAAATTTGATATCAATTGCTAAAGAGATATCATTTTCATTTAGACCACATGCATAAACATTCAAATTTAGGCCAAAAATTAAAATTTATAAAATCAAAGTATTTTGAAATTTGATATCAATTGTTAGAGAGATATCATTAGCATTTAAAACCAATTTTGACCAAAATTCATTATGATGAACTAAAAATTCTCAAAAATAAATGTTCATCATAATCATCTTTTCAACATACATGAGATTAAAACAATTATGCATAATCATTTAAAACCAAAACTCATGCATGCTTAAAATCAAATGAGCAACCAAATAACCAAAATTAAAAGCATTAAGCTTAGAGGTTACCCATTCATTTTTCATGTGTGGCTAGAGCATCTTGAATATCATAATTTTCATCACAATTGCTTCCACACACCTACAAGAGACATTTAAGTAGATTTTGGTATCCAAATTGCTTTGGATCCTTGAACGTTAGTTACAATACCCCTTGTTCCTTTTGGAACCCATACTTGCCTAATTTTAAAATGTTTTCCTTTCTTCAAAGGACAAGTATGTTCCATATGACCATGATAATGGCAATGTGAGCATTTTTCCATTTTTAAAAATAATAGATTGTTTTTAGAAATTAATTCTTTTTCTTTTGTTAAGCTTTCAAGCTTAACTTCTAACTCAAAATTTTTATTTTCTAAATCATTTATTTTGATTTTTGAAAGTTCTAAATCATTTTTCAAAATTTCATTTTGATTTTCAAAATCAACTCTAGCTTTCAAAATCGATTTATTTTCAATTTTGAGTTTTGAAATTAATTTCGTATATTTGGAATTCATGGTCTTAAATCCCAAATACAACCTATTATAAGCATCTTGTAACTCATCAAAAGTAAATGAATTAAATTCATTTGAGTTAGAAGATACCTCGAATTCTTCTTGAGTGGTCATGAGGCATAGGTTGACTACTTCATCTTCATCATTGGAATCATCTTCATCACTCCAAGATGCAACAAATGCCTTCTTCCCCTTTTTCTTTAGAAGAGGACATTCATACATGACATGCCCCTTTCTTTGACAATCAAAACATACCGGGGGACTCTTCTTCTTGGTTGATTCATGTTTCACTTCCTTGGAAATCATGAATCTCTTAAGTTCCTTCAAGAGCTTGATCATCTCTTTTTTTTTGTTCATCATCGTCTTCACCCACCTCATCACTTGAATCTTGATAGCTTTCATTGATGCCTACGTCCTCATTCTTCTTCTTCTTCTTCTTGTTTTTCTTCTTTTCCCTTTCTTCATCTTCCTTCACCATTATCTCATGAGTGAGAATGGAACCAATTAGCTCGTCGAGAGTGAGAGACTTTAGGTTTCTTGCTTCGATAATGGCCGTCTTCTTTGATTGCCACTCCTTTGGAAGAGAGTAAATCATCTTCCTCACAAGCTTCTCATTTGGTATTACTTCTCCATATCCATTGAGATCGTTGACAATCATAGAGAATCTATCCGTCATAGCTTTGATGTCTTCATCGGGTTTCATCTTAAAGTTCTCGTAGCTATGGTTGAGAAGACTTTTCTTTGATTCCCTCACTTCGTCGGTTCCTTCATGAGTGACTTGGAGCTTATCCCAAATCTCTTTGG